GAAGAGTTACATTCTCATGCAAAAACTCTGTTTTAATATTCCATGTCCCAAGACCAAGACACTAAAGAAGTCCATCACCTGTGTTGGGGCCAAACTTTGGAACAACTTTGACAATGAAGTCAGAAATATTGACTCACTTGACACTTCTAGAAGAACAATTAGGAACATGCCACGTGAATTTTACAGTTTTTAAAGACCGACTCACTAGCTTTTAAATCTTTTTTATTGTTTCATAAATTTGTACTTTATCGCATTATTTCTGTAATCAATAGTTCTCTTCTTTGTAAACACCTTTTAAATAGTCTTTTAGCTAGTTTTTAATTTTTAGACACGATCACATCAGCGCTGCTGTTATATCTTTATCGAGTATAAATCAATGCTTTACGTTAACTTACCGTACTTAAGCATCCACTCTTAATTTTATGATAACTGCACAAATTCTCGCGCGCTTCTTCTACAGTAAGACCGGAACGAGATCAGACAATTTGACAATTTGTTATCGTAAAAACACAAATTGACGTCAGTTTTTCATGCGACTGTCCTGTTATTAACAACGAATTTCGTCATAACGACAAAATCCATGATCAATAACAGGACAGACGCATGAAAAACTGACGTCAATTTGTTAATTGGTTGATAAACGAAGCGATTGGCGCTGTGATTTGTTCCATTTTAACTTTATTATCCTGGTTATCAAATGATCATACTGAATATAGAGAATACTGAAAGCTACCGTGTAATAGTCTTACTTTGATAAGTTAAAGATGGCTACCAGCTTTCTGCCCAAGCTCTTGGCTTCTTTTAACCCTTCAGAGAACATGATGACCTCAGCAATCAGTTCGTTGTCAGGACGGGACATGGCCACTGGACGGAACAGTTGCTTCAGGTTATCTGGGAGCTTTTGACGTCCCCCATAACCTTTACCCGCAGGGTTCAGAGTAATGAAGATCCCCGAGTTAGGATCTAAATCAACCTAAGATAACGAAACCACAAGTTACAATCAGACTTAATATGGCACATTTTATTTGCATTATCGGCTTGGAAATGATATGGTTAGGGATTTTAACTGCTCAAAATAGTTTTAGCCGCTTTCTGATACATGTTTAAGCGCGATACTATGCTTCGACATCAAACGTTACTGTAGAAGTTAGCTATATCTAAATGTACTTTGAGTACCAAGTGCAAAAGTTCAGTAAAACTGCCAGCTTAATCCCCAGTTACTAAAAGGGACTTTTCCCCTCAGCTGCAAAATAATAAAAAAATTCATTACTCTATAACTGACAGTCTTAGTCAATATCCAAAAAAGTCTGTCAAGTGGCCAGGGTTTGTGGGATTGATCTATCACTTGAGCAAGTTACACTTCTGGACTTGTCAGTTCACTTTGTAGGTAGAAGATGGAAAGCCAATAGAAATGGCCTCATGGGTTAGCTGCAACCCTAGGCAAAACTAGTTCAGACAGATTGAAAATTGAAAAATCTTTATTTTCCTGTTGCCATGTGATAACAGCTTTTTGGGCCGCTTAAGTTGTTATCCTTGTTACAACCATCCAGAGGGAAACACGCTTGCAGCGACGGAGTTTGTCAGACTCCTAGAGGACTCGAGATCTATTACAGCAAAACAATCCAACGGMAAGACAGAGAATACACAGTTACTTGGGTCCAACAGTAGAGTTTAATCCAGTAACGTACACAGAACGTAATCAATACGGGATAGTGGTATCCGGCGTCCCACCACCGGGGCCGTAACCAAAGAACAATTTATAAAACACCTGTATATATGCTAGCCTCTAAACAAATGATCTAATATTTCGTTTAGTAATCCTAAACCCCTATTGGCTGCCAATGAGCTCATTGTTGTTCTAGGCTATTCCATCATAAACAGTCAGCTATTCTGCTCGTTGATATTGACTACTTACAACTTCAGGTAGTTCTCACTACAAGGCGTTACACGATAATACATGATAGACAGGTGGTTACCATGGTTATTGGACTTTCACTTAACTGTTAACTGTTGACCTTTTTATGGTTATGAATATCGGCAAATTCTCCCCTCACAGCAAGACTAAGTTCCAAAACGTCTTAAAATGGATGGGAATTATCCCCCTTATCGTTTTTCAGTTTTTTTTTTTTTGAATAACAAAGAATTGCATCTGTTGATTTTCAGACCAAAACAACATTGGATGGGGTAGGGTAGGGGGTGACTTTGCTGTGGTATGATTACATCGTAGTGTAGCCTTATGCTCCACTCACAGGAGCGAAGAGGATGAGTGAGAGAGCGATTACAACGTAATATCGTGGGCAATTAAAACATTGATAAAACTGTCTCAACAGTTTTGTCCAGGGTTGCAACAGATATTAGCTCCAAACGGAAAAGGTTTAATGTACGTTTTTTCTACTGGGTTAAACCTGTTGGTTTCACACAAGTCCAGTCTGTATAAATTGAATGTGTACCTGTCTTCCAAGAAGCTCAGTGGAAGGCAGCTTGCTCTTGAGTGCAGCCTGTATGGTCTGTATCTGCATGGACACGGCAGACAGTACAGCTTCCTCCAAACGATTGAACTCATCAAAACAACCCCAGGCCCCACACTTCACTAGACCAATGAAGATACGACCCATGGACTTGACATCAATACCCTGAAAATACCAGATAATGATTAACGACAACAAAAAAAAAACAACAACAACAACAACAACAAGAAAGATCATCGACTAGAAACGTCGCCATCTACAGACTTTCTGGAGTAGTATTTTTGCAAGAAAAAGATCGGAGTATTGTTTAGCCAAATAGTCGTCCAGTTAGGTGTATAGTGATGGTAACTGTTAACCTCATCTCTGAATAAAGTAACTTGCGATCAAGCAACGCTTTCAGTTTGTGCCTACTTTTTCTGTTAATTGTTTTCAAATGTTACTCATTAATCAAGACATCATAATCCTTCTGTTCAAAAAAGGCAAACAAACGGACAGACTAAAACAGTTATCATGGAGGGATTAACATGTTACACATTAACTCTTCAATTTAGATGACGGCTATTACATTAATTTACACCTCTGGTTTCAGTGTCTAGAAAAGTGACCAACATTTCGCCTAACTCTAATCAGAAGCTTTTTAAAAAGCTTTGTCTCCAAAATGTCTCTAAAATGTCTTTATGATGTTCGAGATGTTTGTTCATAAATTAAACTCGAAAACGGAGATGATTGTGTAGGAAACGAGAGAGCAAAGTCACGAATGTGACTCTTGACACGTCTATAGTCCAAATCAATTTTAACATCACTTGTGACATAATTATGTTTTCATCCTAACCTCATCACAGTTGAACACAAGAACTTGTCTGCCAAACAAGCCGCCGAGTGCTTTGACTGATTCTGTCTTTCCTGTGCCAGCAGGCCCGTACGGGTTTCCACCAAGACCCATGTGCATGCCCTGGGTCAAAGTTAGGTAGCATTTGTCCGTGAGAGGAGTGTGCACCAGTTTAGCAGCATTGCCTTGGTATTCGTACGTGTAGTGGAATTCCGCATCACACATTCGGATCAAACAAATTTCTGTAAAAGAAAACAAGTGTTTGTAGTTCTCCTTTGAAATACATGACAGTGTAACTCGCCATACGAAATCTAAATGGAAATGAACGAAATATATAGAAATGTACACTTAAACAATACCAGATGTCTCCAAACACAAAACAGACATCATTAACAAATGCACCATGGCAAAGAATCTACATGGCACGGTAAGAACAGAACAAACCTCAAACTCTGACTCACTTTAAAGACCACTAGAACAAAGGAAATGCATCGCCCATCTATTTTACTTTATGCTTATCTTATTGTACCATGTGAGCGTATTTTGTAACCGTTTATTGCTATTTTCTTGTGTGTTTATTCACTTGAGTTTACAAACAGCAATTAGAATATTGAAATTTGCATGGTGTAAGGAAGTGGAATAATTGTTTTGAAAAAAAAATCCATCAAATATTTTCGCTCGCGCGCGATTGGTCTAAACGCGTCACGTGACTGAATATTCCCCAGCTCGAATTGGGGAATATGCGAGTGCTACAACCCATCAAATATTTTCGCTCGCGCGCAATTGGTCTAAACACGTCACGTGA